CTTTGTGGTTCCTTAAAAATCTGTGCACAACTTCCTCTTCCTGCTCCCAAACACCCCCGATTGCTGTGATCTGGTGTAATTTAGGCTAACCTAAATAAACTCTCCAGATTCACTATCATCACACGATCTTTAAATGAGTATAAATAGTGCTTGAAATAAACCTGGATCTTGGCATCTTCTTCTTCCTCCTCCCCTCCTTGTGGAGGAAGCTTGAGTGAAGTGATCATTGTGAATGTGAAATTGCCAGCACTTTGGGAAAGTTCATATCCAGGTCCTAAAGTTTTGGGCTGATCTCATCAATTTTACTACTCGAGGGCGCATACTGACTCCGGTCATTTTGCAGAATCTGTGGAAATCGAGCTCTCTCTCGATTATACCCAGCTGTCCCTATTGAATATTTTTCTTCCCTTTTTCATCCCTCCTCAATGGTGACATGAAACTGGAAGCAGAGTGTGTTTGCCAGCTCCTTTGAGAATTGAAATGGTTAATGAAAATCGCAATTTGCTTCTCTGCCATCTGCTTGTGGTTATGATAGAAAAGGGTCTGTTGTAAACAGTTGTATAACTTCTGCTCTGTGTTGTGAAAACTGTTGCCATGTTCCACCCCAGAAAATGCTGCGTTTTTGGAGGTGCTTTAACAGTTAATGTGTGTAGTTTTAAAGGCTACTTGGAAGATTTGAAGCAAGTAACTGACTCTCTCCTTTTCTGTTTCATTTCTGTCTTAAGGCCTGCCTTTATCTGCATTTTGCTGGTGCTAGGAACATAGTCACTAGCAAATAATGAAGGAGAGTTTTCGTTTCGCTTCCTGTCAAAACCTTGCCGTGAAAGCATTGAACCTGTACAAAAGCAAGACAGACCATTTTAACAAGGTTCCGAAGGGATTAGTGAAACCAAAAGACACCAAGAAATCAAAGGAATTTAAATGAAAAATCTTGAAGCGCACAGCTGTGGTTGCATGAGGGTTGAGCTCAGGGTGCGGTGCTCACTGCACAGAGCCGAAGGTGACAATCCCGGTCGCGGATTGGAAACATGTGGGGTTGTGATTATTTTTTCCTGCAGGATGGCCTTTCATGTCTAACCACACGGAGTGTGTCAACAACCCATCTGGCGCCATTAGACACCAGCAATTTTACTCACCATGCTTTTCATGGGCTCTTGGTATTTGTGCTATGTGCTCCCTTTAGAATAGCTTCGGGTGTTGTGGTAGGGCAGCCTGGACAGCTGGGAATTGTCCAGTTAACTATTGCATCTCTTTCGGTTCCCATTTGGTGCTTCAGTTTTCTTTGGAAAGCAAGGCACTCGTACCATGTTGCTCCTTGGTCCCTTGCATGTGCTCTTGTCTACAGTCATAACCCTTGGTCCGTGTTTCTCACAGCTCTTCCAAGCTGCTCAGGGTGGGGTTGAACTGATACCTCAGTTGGGGCATCCACGAACAGCCAGGTGCTCTTGGTGGAGCAGGTAGCAAAAATTCATAACGCGATGGAGAACGTGATGGGAGATATTAAGGATCAAAATAGCTGAGGTTTTGGATTGGCAGCTCATTCAGATGAATGGTACAAAGCCTGAGAAGACAAGTTAGCAGGCTGCACACAGCTGGACAACTTCTGTCTGCTTAGAGGAGATCTGCAGCTGCACCGATCTTAGGAGAAGAGTGAAGCAGCAAAGTGATGAAGCAGTAACAGGCTGTTAAGGGTTTTGAGGCAGGATTTTAAACAGCTAGAACAAGATCAGCTGGGAGAAGAGTCTGAGATTTTTGTTCCTAAGTTTTATTCCCAAATTTTTTATGGTAGCTGATTTTCACTTGATGAAGCTGCTCTAGCTTCATCAAGGTCAAATACCAAGCCAGTGCGTAAAGTACTTTTATATTGTTGCTGTAAAGGAGCAAACCAACCAACTTTTAACATCTTTCATAAACTTCTCTTTGCAACCACCCACAATACTATCTTATTTAGTTTGCTTCCTGTCTTCTGCCTGAACCACAGTTTGTCCGTTGGTACAGATGGTGGCTCTCTGGGTGGCATGTGCACCTCCGACCCTGCGCTGCTCCTTGGAGAACCTCTTTCTGGAGATGCCTTTCCTCCTCCTGCCCTTACTTTAGTGGAAGAAAGCTGGGTGTTGTTTCTGGTCTCACCTAAATAATAAAAAACCCCTTAATTTGTATATTACCTTACAGAATTGTTTAGGTTGGAAAAGACCTTTAAGATCATCGAGTCCAACCGTTAACCTAGCACTGCTAAGTCCACCACTAAACCTTGTCCCTAAGCGCCACATCTACATGTGTACGCCTCCAGGGATGGTGACTCAACTGCTTCCCCGGGCAGCCTGTTCCAATGCTTGACAACCCTTTCAGTGAAGACATTTTTCCTAATATCCAATCTAAACCTCCCCTGGTGCAACTTGAGGCCATTTCCTCTTGTCCCGTTGCTTGTTAGTTGGGAGAAGAAACCAATAACCACTTTGTTGCAGCCTCCTTTCAGGTGGTTGTAGAGAGGGGTCAGGTCTCCCCTCAGCCTCCTTTTCTCCAGACTAAACAACCCCGGTCCCCTCAGCTGCTTCTCATAACACTTGTCCTCCAGACCCTTCACCAGCTTCGTTGCTCTTCGCTGGACACACTCCAGCATCTCAATGTCTTTTTTGTAATGAGGGGCCCAAAACTGAACCCAGTATTGAAGATGTGGCCTCACCAGGGCCGAGTACAGGGCGACGATCCCTGTCCTAGTCCTGCTGGCCACTCTTTCTGACACGAGCCAGGATGCCGTTGGCCTTGTTGGCTACCTGGGCACGCTGCTGGCTCATCTTCAGCCAGCTGTCGACCAACACCCCCAGGTCCTTTTCTGCCGGGCAGCTCTCCAGCTGCCCTTCCCCAAGCCCGTAGTGTTGCAGGGGGTGGTTGTGACCCAAGTGCAGGACCCGACCCTGAGCCTTGTTGAACCTCGTAAAACTGGCTGTGGCTCATCAATCCAGCCTGTCCAGATCCCCCTGTAGAGCCTCCCTGTCCTCCAGCAGATCAACACTCCCGCCCAAGTTGGTGGTGTTTGCAAACTTACTGAGGGTGCACTCGATCCCCTCATCCAGATCATTGATAAGGATATTAAACAAAACTGGTCCCAGTACTGAGCCCTGGGGATCACCACTTGTGTCCAGCCGCCACCGGGATTTAACTCCGTTCACCACAACTCTTTGGGCTTGGCCATCCAGCCGGATTTTTTACCCAGTGAAGAGTACACCCACCAAGCCACGAGCAGCCTTCTCTTGTGGTGGCACCTTTAATCTCCGTTTTAGCGGGAGTCAGAGCATACGGTCCCTTATCTGTGCACGTGCCCTTCGAAGGCTGGCTGCAGCCTGGGCAGTACCTGTAGATTCACAATTCTCTTAGCTGGGTCTTGCAGTTACTAATTAGCTCTCTGGCATATTAACAAAACAAACTGTGTGCTGCAAACACTGATTGCAGATTGGGGGGGCAACTATTTGATTTATATAGCTTAACATCTGGCCGTTTCAACCTTGCACAGTTCTGCATTTTGATCATTCCCTCTGGTTTTGTGTGTCAGCAGTATCTGCAATAGAGGACACTAGAGTATGAAGGAAAATATTGCCTCTAAATAACATCTATGCCTTCTCACATTTTATTTTCTATTTTTTTTTTACTCAAAACACCTGGAGAGCCACAAGCCGAGAATCCTTTTTATAACCCCTCACACTATACACACACACACTCACAGGCTTCAAACCTTGAAGCAGTCCAGATCACAAGCCGCAGTCATTTCCCGAGCTTTTTGTTTTGTTTTTTTTTTTTTTTTTTTTTAAGAAAAAGAAACAAGGCATCAAGATCAGCTGTTCTGAAACTATTCTTCTTTATCTAAAATTATCCAAGTTGCACTACAAATCCAACCGTTGATGTCATGAGAAGGGTAATGAAAGTTTGCCATGGCTTAATTTTCATATTTTCACAATGTCAGACATTTTTTGCAGCAGAGATTGCTGTCCTTTTAAGTGCAGAATATTCCCTTTTTCAGTGGAAATTAAACTATTTCTTTTAAGAGGAAAGAAATCTGATACAATCGTGTACAATAATCAAGAGGACCTTTGGCTTTCTACCACAGATCTGATTTACTCTGTTCTAAATAAATATTATTGTACTGTAAACAAATGATAAACAGAGCTAGAGAGAAGTAAATGATGTAGTTTAAGACTACACCTAGATCTGCCAGTTCCAAACATTGCTGTGGGGTGCTGGAGGACCATGCAAAATCACTGCTAATGTCCTTGCTTTCATCTAGTATGAAATGGTGCCTTAAGAAATGACTTACTACTTTCAGTAGATGAAATGTTGATCCAAATAAACCAAGGTTCCTCTTATCTCCCCTTTTGCCCTTTGTATTGCTTATTTGCAGGGTGCAGAGTGAATCACCCGTAATAAGGTGGAGAAAGTTCAAAGATGAGAAAATACAGCTTGTTGTATGAATGCTGCTTTCTCTTCTGCTCAGGACAGATATAGATCCTTGCACATAAATGGTTTTGTACATGAAACATAACATTTTGTTTCCTATGCAGATGCTATTTAGTTAACTGGATGCTTGAAATCTTTTTATTGTGGTTAAGTCACAGATGCCTGAGACAGTGCTGTGAAACCTATTGTCAGACACTGGAGCCATCGCTCTCCCTCAGGCACTGTAATTTATGCACAAAATCTTGGATTCAAAAGAAAAAAAATTAGAGCCTACATTTGGCATACTGTAGTTTGCATTTGCCTGATCTGTTTGTTGGGGGACAGAAGCCCATGGCCATGTGAATGTGGTCATGTGTAATTGAGGGCGTATTTTCTGAATGAGCAATTGGCATTTTGTAGCCTTCCTCTGCCTTCCTCTCCCTCAGCAAATCCATACGTCCCATAGCTGGGTTTCCAGCTTCTGTAGACACAGAACATCATGAACAGAATAATCTTGTCCTCTTCAGGTAAAGTCCTGTCCAATTCTTGTTTCTATTTTGTGTCCTTTATAGGAAGGATCAGAATGTGCTATCACCAGTCAATTGCTGGAATCTCCTGCTAAATCAAGTGAAGCGGGAGAGCAGGGATCACACCACCCTAAGTGACATCTATCTCAACAACATCATCCCGCGCTTTGTCCAGGTCAGCGAAGATTCGGGGCGCCTGTTCAAGAAGGTAACCGAGTGCTACAAAGCACACATTTTTGTTTGGCCCTTCTGAAATACAAAGTTTTAGCTGTTACTTCTGGTGGATCAGTTTATTGTTGACTGTGCCTAACACATGGGGCTTTTTTCCTCTTTGTCGATAACTGTGATTTACCTTTGATTTCTTCAATAATTTTCTTCTAGTATTTTAGGATTTTCCCAAAAGTGGTCAGTTGAGATTTGTTGGTCTAAATTCAGGCTATGTTTTTTTCCTCTTAACCTGTTTACAGTTTTTAAATGCATTTTGAAACTTTTATTTAATAAGCAGAAACCCTCCAGGTCTTCAGCTCTAGGTGTAATCAAGAGCAACTCTATAAAGACAATTTTATATCTGCCATGGAGGAGAAACTACTGTTAAAAGAAAAATTAGAGGGAATTTCTACCATGTTAGATAATAAAAGGATGCATTGTCCTTCTCTGGAAAAAGGACAAAATGCAGCTGAGGTCTCCTTAGCCTTGTCCCCTTTCTCTCTCCTTGATTTCCACCTGGAAAAAAAGGTGGGACAGTGTGGGAGGGTATTTTTCTGTTAAGAATCTGTTCTTCCAGTTGAAGAAACACGATACGGAAGCTTTGAAACTCCTACTAAATGGTAATGCCTAGTCTCTTCAGAGGTTTGTCAATTGCTGTAACACCTGCTAGTTAACATGTTTAAAACATTGCAATTCTAACTGGCAGCAATTTCTCTTCCCCCACTCCCCACCCCCTTGCAATGTGCCACGATCATGGAGAGTTATTTCTACTATTGCACGGCCTTGAGAAGGAGGTTGCAGAAGCACTCGAGCCTTTTAAAGAATACTTTTGTGGAGAATCATCCTAAATCACATTGCTTCTGAGAGAGAAATGGACGAGGAACACTTTTGATAAAAATCTCCTAGCGTACTTTCATGTCTGTCTTTGCCTTCAGTGGTGTCAGTTGTTATATTAAAAAAAGTCATGCGAGTAGTGTGTGACTTCAAAATTAAAAACTGGTTGGGTGCAGTCAGCAGTAATTGGAGGCCTTACTGGCTTTTCACTCTGGTCTTGACAGTCTTTTGAAAATGTCTGGAGGAAAGAGTGTTCAGATATTTCTTCACACCTCTATGTTGCTTTAACTGGTAAAGAGAGTCTATATAATACAGTCCCTTTAGACTGCTAGAAAGTGAACAATGCTCATTATTGTGTGTGAGATTTCATGTCAAGATGCACTTGGAGGAGCAGCATCTTCGGTGTTACGTGGAGAGCAGAATGCATTTGCTCTTTTACAGCAGGTATTTGTGTGTCTTGGCAACTGTTTTCTATAGGAGAATGACAATAGTGCAAGTGCACTGTTGTGTTCCTTGTCCTCTGCGTATTTCTTGAGGTTTGTAATGGATAGCAATGGAGTATGAAAAATATAATCAAGTGTTACATTCTGTTTTTCTTCCTTTTTTGAGACACTGCCCAAGTAGAGGAGGAACCTTATCTTTTTCAAGTAATGTCACACTAAGGCCTTTTTGACCTTTTAAAACTTTCTGGTAATTACATTATGGTTGATTAGATACTTACACAGGATTATTGAACGGCAGTTACTCTTCAATTCCTCTAATCCTTCCAAAGGATAAGTAATCTCCCCACTGAATTTCAACAAGGGCTGTGCTTGTGTGAAGGTAGCTGAGAAAATGCCTCGGCAAAGAAGTACATGGAAATTGATATTATCCCAGTTTAGTTGGAAATTAGCATCTTAACTTTCAGCCCCTTGTATAAGTATGGTTTTGCCCTGTTTGATTTTATTATGGGCAGTAGGACTTTAATAAAAACAAACAAGTAACTGACCAACACCAAAATACCTTTCTGGTTTCTTTCTCACAGATCAAATGCAAACTCCCTATTAATTTGTGCAAACAAAAGGCACTTGTTACTGAATTCCAACTGCTTGTTTTTTGACTGTTTGCCAGGCATACCAAATTGGCTGAAGGCCAAAACAGGTATTAGATTACTATTCCACTTGTGGTGGGTGGTTAAAAACAAAAATTGCATCCTGTCTTATCTAGAGTGTCACATAGTCGAATACGATAGCAGCTGATAAATAGAGAAATTTGGCTGAACCTGGATCTGCTGCTACTTGTTCTTTTTCCCTAGAATTTCTTACCTTCCTGAGCTGCATGAATTGGTAGAAAACAGATCTGTGTGGTTAAAATACTGCAAATCAGCTTTATATTCCATAGATATGAAAAAATGCTATCCATTTATAAAACCCCTGTGTAGCACGCTTGCTATATCCTAGGAGCAGTACAAACAATCTCCAGAATCTCGCTGGACCATAAGCAGACAAATGGTACCTTTTCCTGGATGGAAAAAACAGGGACAAGTGGATGAAGTCACTCGTCCAGGATTGCTCAGCAAGTCACTGTCAAAGCCAGAAGGCCTTTCTGATCAGTATCTGTAGGTACGGAAGGGGAATAATTAGGTGCCTTGGGAAGGTATTTAGGAGTGGCGTATATTTTTGTGCCTCTAACTGGAAGTAAAACCATGCCAGCCCAAAGGGAAGTTAGTCATATTGATGGGAAGATCTAAAAGAACATTCTCCTTCCTTTCTCCTTTGCTTCTCCCATCCCTTTGTAAACTTTTGAGACATCCTTTCCCATTTTTTGATGGAAAAAGAGCTACGATAGTATGTGACAGCTCAGAAAACTGAGTGCTTTTTAGCAGTTTCGAAACATGTAGTTTATACAGGAGCTACATGGAAAATAATGCTACTGTGCCATGCTGCAAAACTTTCCATGGAGCTGTGGAAGGCAAATTTGGAGGTCCCAGTCAAAAACCAAGTAAGAACGAGCTCTGAATGGCACAGCTGCATTAGTGTGGTGCTGCATCTTGGCAAATGTATGTAGCTTCTCCACAGATCTAATTAGCCAGCGTGCGTCAGTGAAATGACTGGCTGTATTACTTTGGAGACCTGAGTTTCCTGCCTCTTGTGCCATGTGGACATTCCAGCTCATTCACTGCTTCTGTCCCATCTGCCTGGTTTAGCATATGCAGTATAGTCAAGCTAAAATGCCCTGCAGCTTCATGACACGCAGCCTGCAGGAGGAAGAGCATTACATCTGATGCTGCTAGGGCACTCCGGTTTGGCTTAATACAAGAAATTAGTTTTTACCGTTTTCCAATGGAAATTGTAGCTGTTGGAATCGTGCTGCCCATCTTGCTGCTGATTTGGGAGGTCTTTGTCCTTCTCTCCTGCTACACAGGGAATCTGTGTTAAAAACAAGGACATTTTATTACTTGAAGGTCTGAAGAACATTATTTTTTACATTTCTGTTTGGAAAATACCTTCTCAAAAAGGTTATACATGTTTCTAGTTGTTTGCAAGTGCTCTAGTAACTTGCATTTAGGAACTACTCACTGGGTTGTAAATAATGCTATGGAATATGGAGAGGATAGTGATATAGAGATCCTTATTTGCTGAGGGGAGTTGAAATAAAATCTGGAGGCTCGAGATCATTTTCTTGAGCCATTGATAATTTAAGGCTTTCTTGAATCGGTGCTTTGTATTGCGGTGGGATTGAGCAAGTGAGCTAGGAATGACAGGGTAGAAAGGATGTGCTTGAGATCCCTTTTGTTGATGAACTCTTGAGTTGCTGTATTTCACACTGTCTGAAAGTGGCGAATTTTTTCAAACCAGAGAGATCTAAGTACAGCATGCTGCCGTAATCCAGCCTTAAGGACCTGGGTGAATGTGATAAGGTTTGCACTGGGAGGGAAACACATCCTCAAGGGCAGCGGAGCTGGAGAGTCCTCAGGCTGAGACAGATTCTCGTGTGTTCACTCTTGGACCCCTCGGACCAGTCAGGTGAAGGGCACAGCAGTGCTGGCGGTCGAGCTTGGACGGGTCTGTCTTGAAATCAGTGAACATCTGAAATTCCCGTGGTGGTGCCTGCATTGCCCTCAGGTTTTCAGAGGGTTTATGTTCGCAGCGTTTGGATTCGCAGTGTCATGGGAAGCCTGCACGGCCTGTGGCTTTGTCTCATGCAGTTTTTCTGTTCGTGTCTTACGATGAAGAGATCCCTCTCCAGGGCTGTGTTACGATGTGGAGGGTCTTAATTGTTTGAGTGTTAGATGGAAGCTTGCCAGCCACTTCAAAGGTATCTTTCCTGATAAGAGAATCTGTGTTTGCTGCCAAAGCCAGCGCTGAAGTGGTGCTGGATGAACACTGTGTGTCAGCCCCATTTCTTCCTGCCTCTCAGATTTGTTTACTTCCTCGGGTAGCTCTCCCTGCAAAACCTTTACATGTCTGGGCACTGGGCTGTTTGCACCAAACACGGGTTTATATCTTACTGGAATCTTGCAACCTAGGGTGTAGCTATTCTTTGAACAGGGTACTCTTTCCATGCCCTTTGTTTTGATTTTTCCTGAGGAAACACTTTTACATTTCAGTAGAGGATGTTTGTCAGTAAGGGGCTTGCTGCTACCGCAGTCTTGCGGGTGAATCCCGTTGGCATCGGGGGGGATCTGGCATTTGGCTTCAGCGATGCCGCGGGGACGGTGTCGGTGCAATTCTGCACTGCTGCAGAAGACAAGGAAGAAAAATGGTGAAATAAATAACAGCGCTCTCGAGCAAATAAAACTGGGAGGGGGGGGAGCTGGTGAAATTGTCCTAATAACAAATTGTTACACCTTGGGAAGGAGGTAATATTTTCTTACTTGTCCAACGGTTAGTGATTTAGCCCTGGGTTCCTTTCACACAAGGTTGAAGTTTAAAGCCTGTGTGCCACCCGGCGTTGCTATTCTGGTCACCTCTCCCTCTCCTGGAAGATCATCCCCCTTTGATGTCAGTGCCTGTGCTTGTGCACGCTCCTTTTCATTCCTCCATCTACTTTTGTGGAGAGCACTACTTTGATTTCTTCTTGCTTATACTCCTTCAGCGTGGTCCTTTTATTTATATATATATTCAAAATGTTCTTCCATTTGAGCTGATTCACGTTTTGATTTCCCCTTTTCTCCCTTTTTACTCT